TAAACTGACACCCTCCCATATGAGAATGCAACCTTAGTGCAATTGCCCGCATGGGTAGCTCAACTGGTCATAGAGGTGAAACTTTGGAAGAATGACCAGGGATCGAGTCTCACCGGCGCAGTGAGGGGGCTCCTTGTGCGCAGTGAGCACCGTTTAGCCTCTGTGGTTCATGTTTAGTTGAGTCACCATGATTTACATCCTCTCAAATGCTCTGTCGGCCGGCGTGTGGGGGTGCAACCTTAGTGCAATATATATATATATATATATATTATATATATATATATATATATATATATATATATATATATATATATAATAGTTACCATATAAATGAATTTATCCAATTATAATATGGAACGTTATGCTGTGGAATCGTGTTCATCTTGCAAGGTGGACACGGTTCCATATTCATAATTTTTATATTGTATATTCATAATTTCTATTCTATAGATTCATAATTTCTATACTTTAGATTCATAATTTCTAAACCGTAAATTCATAATTTAAATACAGTAGATTCATAATTTCTATACAGTAGATTCATAATTTCTATACTGCAAATTCATAATATCTGTACTGTAGATTCATAATTTCTGTACTGTATAGTTATCAAATTATGAACATATAGTTCTGTGATTTGTGAAAACAGAGTTCAACAATTGAAATATAAACATAAAAAATTATGAATATACATTTATAAAATTATGAACATATAACTTTATAATTATGAATCTAAAATATAAAATTATAAATATGAACAAGGTGGCTACGTTTCTACAGCATAATTTGCCATTATATATATCAACCTACAAATATCTACAATTAGAACGACAAAGAATTACATACCAAATAGGCAAATATATTATCAAAGTGAGCCAGCAAGTGGGCTTGTCAAAGCCTACCATTTGGCGGGACAGGCGACCTAAAATTGCTAGCTAGCCCACCCTTGCTCGGCAAAGCCCCACAAGCCTAACTTCTTTTTAAAAAATTAATTTAATTTAGAAAAAGCTAATAATTGGATAAAAAATCATCTAAATAATTTAAACAAATGTTAATACAGTTTTATACCCAATAATAAATTTAGATAATCTAAAACTAACGAAATTACTACAAAGTTTTAAAACTCCAAATGCTAAAATTCAAATAAAAAATTAACTTTTTAAATATTGATATTCATATTGAATTGGTGGACTAGCCTGCCCCGTGGCATGGCAAACCCATGTGTTTTGTCCCCCCGTCACCTAAGAATGGCAACGGCCCGTCCCCGAATCCCCAACCCCGTTCCGTCAACTTTTAGTTAAAATTTTAAATTTTAAAAATTATAAAAAATACCCCTCTATAATATGCTAATTATCAATGTCACCCTTGAATTATGAGTGATGTAAATGTTGCCCCTCAATTATCAAAATGGTACACATATAGCCCCTCCCGTAATGGACTTGTAGTTCCCGTTTAGTGTACACCGTTAAGCCGGGGTAAATATGTAATTTAGTTGTTTTTTCCTTTTTTCTTTTTTTTTTTTAATATATATTTTCCCTTTTTTTTCTCGGCCTCAACAAACAATAGTCTGGCGGCGAGCAGCGATGAAAGTGGACTCGATTGGTGGCATCCAGTAGCAGCGGCGACGAATGAGCTCCGGCGAGACCCTCCCTTGATTTGAAGTACTAGCGATGGACAACGGCAAAGTCCAGCGACTTTCTCTGTTTCCAGTGTGAACGACAGCTACGGCGACACCAAGCTCGGACCTTGGTTCGTCTTCTTCCGGCGTGAACAAGACGAGGCAGCGCGGCTGAGCCTCCCTCCCTCTCGTTCGACATGGGCAGTATTTCCCGGTTAACGGCTCCCTCTTCCCCGGCGGCGTCCCCTGTTTCCGACAGAGCAGCGACAACAACCAACCATGGCGGAACTCCGGCGACTTTGTACCTATCCCGGCGAGGCAACATGGAGCTAGGACGACGGCAGTTGTGGTGATCTTCCGCGGAGCAACGTCGAGTTGTGGTTGTGGCAGCTGTGGGCAGTGTGGGTAGCTACGTCGGCAGCTGTGGCTGTGTGGGCTTCTCGCTGCCAGACTGTTGTTTGTTGAGGCAGAGAAAGAAAAAGTAAAAAAACAAAGGGAAAATATACAAAGAAAAAGGAAAAAAACAACTAAATTACATATTTACCCTGACTTAATGATGTCCACTAATGGGGAACCACAGATCCGTTATGGGAAGGGCTATATGTGCACCGTTTTGATAATTGAGGGGCAACACTTACACCACTCGTAAATTCAGGGGTGACATTGATAATTGACATATTATAGAGGACATTTTTTACAATTTTCCTTTTAATGTATATATATATATATATATATATATATATATATATATATATATATATATATATATATCTTTATTTATTTATTTAATTATTTATCTATTTAATTATAAAAATTAATCGGGGACGGGACGGGGCGGGGAGGGGTATCCCCCGGCTTCGTCCCTGTCCCCGACTGGAATTGCTTACATTCTCCGTCCCCGTCTCCGTTCCCCGAAAATTTGTCTTATCCCCGTCCCCGTCGGGGCGGGAATTGGAAATTCCCATCGGGGCTGGAATTGAGAATTCCCGTCGGGGACGAGGCACATTGTCATCCCTATCGTCACCTTATTAGGTGTCAGGCAAGTCAACCCAACATCTTAACCCTATTTTAACAGCTCTAACACCAAATCATCATTAAATAACAAAGTTTATTAACACCTTGGGATGGAAGTAGGCTAGGCCGAGCTGCGCTTTAGAGAATTGAAATAGGCCTATGCCTGCTATGAAAATGTTAGGTTTGAGCCTGTATGTAGACTTTCTGTTATGCTCAAGCCTAAGTTTACAATTGGTCTGACTTAGCCTTTTTTTTCAAAACCTATTTAATATGTAGGCCATTAAAAATGTTTTAAAATAAGTCCTAAATAAGCTTTGAGTCTACTTAACATATTAGCCTTTTTAAATCCTACATCTTTTTAAAGAAAGTTTTAAAAATATACCTAATACCCTATTATAAATACTCTTACTGTCTCATTTTATCTTCTTGTTTAATATTCATTGGTCAAACTAACACTTTCTTCTTTCTTCTTTACTTATTTTCTTTAGTAATTTTTGATTATTTTTAAATTTAATTTATGTGCTTAATAGTACTTTCAATGTACTTTCTAAATATATAAATTTTATATACTAATACTAAATGTAATATTATGAAAAATCGAATTAAAAATAACTTCAGTTAAGCCTCGTTAACTAAACCAGACACATAAAAAAGGACACAAAGAGTATATAATAATACAAAACTAATACATTACTAAACATAAGTATATCACCACAAATTTGCAATTAGTAGGAAGATCGAAATACTAGAAGCGAAAAATGAAATAGAATTGAAAATTTTGGGGATTACGATTTGCTAATTCACATATATACTTGGGTTATATTGTAAATATAAAAATTTATTTTTGGAATATATGGAAGGGGAATACCCAAGAAGTTTAATTTACAGTACAGAGCTATCTAATTGACGCCAGATTGGTATGCCGAATCTGTCCTCCTCAAGGATCTGTTCAAGCAACTCTGGGGGGCTTTCTAGGATTCTTAAGCCTGTGGTTGCCCCAACTGTTTTGGCCAAACAGTCAGCTGCAGTGTTCTGTTTCCATGGCACATATGATACCACCCAAGTTGGGATATTCCTAAGCTCACGCTTACATGCATGGATGATGTTATTTGCAACACTGCCAGTCATCGCATTCTGCTTCACAGCGTTTACAACACTCAATGCATCACTTTCGAAGCACACCCTCTTCAATCTAAGGGCACTTGCTAGCTGGATCCCTTTCAACACAGCCCAGGCTTCAGCAGCTTCAATATATAAAGAATTTGATCTTGAATGAATCACTAATGATAAGGATATATGTTCGATCCTAAGGATGTACACCCGGTGCCCGACCGTATCGAGACCGGGTCACTACCCGACCCTTGGAAGTGAGCCCCTACCCTTCCCGACCGGTAAGGGTCAGTAGACACGGTCGACCCCCGGGCAGCAGGACACCTCGAAGAACCCGCCGGGAAGTGACCGGTTTGCTGGGCGATCCCGACCAGAGGCCCTCGGACGACTCTCGGCCAGAGGGGAGGAGGAGTCAGACCTCTAGCGCCGCGTGGCAGACATCGACACGGCCGCAGGTAACACCCGGTGCATGCCCACCACGTGTCTAACATGCCGGAGGCCCGGCGTGACCCACCTTTCTGACCCTATAAATAGCGCATTAAATGCACCTTGGAGGGGACTTTGGGACGAGGCAAGACTGGACCTTCCCGACCCACGTAAGAGATCCGAGCCTTGCTTACGACCGCATAAATATACCACTTAGTATAAACAGTATCATTTTGGCGCCGTCCGTGGGGATCGAACTGAAAGCCGTCCCGGTAAACACCAGACCGATCCTGAAAATGTTTCTATTCATGGACTTTAATAACGATGCGGAAGCCGAGGAGAGCTCATCGGACCTCCGATCACAGATGAATCCGCGGATGGACCTCAATACACCACCGGGCAGGGAGATGACCCCGGACCCGGTTAATTTCATTCAACCAGGAGTAGCATTCCCTGGCATCCCCGGACAAATGCCACTCCAATACCCGATGTATGCACCCGGGATGTTTGACCCGGTGTACCCATATTGGCAAAGCCCACAACGCTTCTTCGGAGCCCAATACCAGTACCCACCAGGCCCGAATGCCTACCAACCCTACATGCCCATGCAATGCCGAATGCGCCGAACGCGCCCGAGTCGGGCCAGTCAGTGGCGTCAGCGTCAGCAGCGGCACCAGAGCTCCGGCGGGCCCAATCTGAGCGCCGACCGGCCCGGTCGAGGCTAGGACCTGGAGCAGCTCACGAGCGGGGGGCTGAAGAAGTCCCCGCGCGCATGAGTGCTTTCGTTCGTCTCTAGCCGTCTGTGCATCAGCGAATCGGAGCCCGGCAAGATATGGAGGAATCTGTAAACCTCTCAGCGCCCCGACAAGAAGAGTTCGGAGAAGTCAGCAGCTGCAGATCTAGGAGAATGGCTCGACGGGCTGCTGACCGAGAGGATCCGCGAAACGAAGCTAAGGGACTGTCGCAGCAAGTCCGGGAGGAATTTAGTAAATGGAGGCGTGAGCATGGCCACCGGTCGTCCGAACCTGAAGCGCCCCTACTGCGCAACCCCTTTACGGCAGATGTAATGAGCCTCCCCTACCCTCACGACTTGCGAATACCGGGGAATAAAGGTTACGATGGAAAAACCGACCCGGAAGCACACATTAACTCCTACTATGGAAACATGCTGATGATGGGAGTAACCGACGTAGTAATGTGTCGAGTGTTTTACTCAACCTTGACAGGGAGGGCAGCAGACTGGTTCCAAACATTGGAGCCCGGTTCAATCGCCTGTTTCGCGAAGTTGGCGAAAAAGTTCGTGCACAAATTCGCCACCTCCAAAGAAGTCCGGAAACACTTCACTTACCTTGAAAAGGCCAAGCAACTAGAAGGTGAGTCCTTGACGGACTTCCTCATCAAATGGAAGGCAGCGATCGGCGAGGTTGAACCCCTCGACGACCGGACAGCGATCAACGTGTTGCATTCCAATTTGCGTGCCGGGGCCCTATACCAAGAATTCATCCTACACCCTCCGGCTACCTACGATGAGGCAATCCGAAGGGTAACTGGCTATGCTAATGCTGGTGAAGCCAATTTCGCCAAGCGCCAACAAGAGGCCGGCAGCAGCCGAAAACCGCAGGGCCGACAAGAGGAGGGAGGACGAACGACAGATCCGGCCGAGGGCGAGGAAGAACACCCGACTTTACCCCCTTGAACAGACCGGCAGTTGACGTCCTTCGATTTGCCCAATCTTGCAACATGATCCAGTTGCCGGAACCACAGCGCGAGGGTCGCGACAAGACAAAGTATTGCGCGTACCATCGCAGCAAAGGGCACGAAACGGAAGACTGCACGACCCTCAGGCAAGTCATAGAGGAGTTGTTACGATCGGGAAAGCTCACTGAGTTCACCAACAAGAAGGACGAGAAAAAATCGTCTTGGAAAAACCCGTTCAAGAAATCAAATAAGAACAAAAAAGACAAAGATCACGACCGGGACACCGAGCCCCCGACAGTCGACTGGAAAACAAGTCATCCACGTCATATTCGGTGGCCCGGAGGAAAGTTCCAATGCCCGGGAGAAATTCCAAATCGGACTAATAGGATCTGAGCCTAGTGAGAAGAGACAAAAGCTAGAACCAATCACGTTTACCCCGAGCGATATGCCGAAGGGAGAGGACTGCAACACTGAAGCATTGGTCGTCACGATCGACATCATGGGGACCGACGTCCAACGTGTCATGGTGGACACGGGCAGCAGCGTGAATGTCTTGTACATGGACGTCTTCCAGAAGCTAAAATTAGAACCGATCGAGTTAACACCCATCGGGACCCCATTATCTGGATTCACTAGTGATACTATCCATCCGGAGGGAAAGATAACATTGCCGGTAGAAATTGGCAACCGACCCCGGACGATCAAAACCATGATGGAATTCATCGTCGTCAACCTTCGATGCGTCCACAACGCTATCTTAGGGAGACCTACGATCGTGTCGATCGGAGGAATTATCTCCATGCCCCACTTATGCATGAAATTCTCAACCCCGAAGGAGTAGGGGTCGTCCGAGGAGACGTCCGATCAGCCCGGAAGTGCTACCAAAAGGCAATCGACAGAAAGGAGGCCTGGAATTCCCAAGTAAATTCAATCTCCAAGAAAGCGGAAGCTGAACGGAAGGAACAGCCGGAACCGTCGGATGAGGTCGAAGAGGTCCCCATACAAGCCGACCGCCCGGAAAGGACGATCCGCATTGGACGGCAGCTCCCCCCGGCGATCAAGGAAGCTGTCTTATTCGTACTAAGAGAGTTCTCAGACATCTTTGCATGGGGACCGGAGGACATGCCAGGAGTGGACCGGACAGTGATATGCCACCGATTGGCTGTCAGCCCGACAGCACGACCGGTGAAACAGAAGACAAGGCATCTCTCCAATGACCGCCGGGAGTTTGTCAGAAATGAAGTCAAAACCCTCACCGAGATCGGCCACCTCCGCCCGGTCGTTTATCCCGATTGGGTTGCCAATGTTGTTTTAGTGCCCAAACCACCAACATGGCGGATGTGCATCGACTACACAGACCTGAACAAGGCATGCCCGTTGGACCCATACCCCCTACCGAGCATACACCAAATGGTCGATGACACGGCTGGGGCGGACCTCATGAGCTTCATGGACGCATTTAGAGGGTACCATCAGATTTTGATGGCGAGGAAGATGAAGCCAAAACGTCCTTCGTGACTCCGGACGGACTCTTCTGTTATAGAGTCATGCCGTTCGGACTACGGAATGCCGGGGCCACGTATCAGAGGATGATCAACGCCTTGTTCGAAGGACAGCTTGGTCGAACGATGGAAGCGTATGTGGACGACATGCTCGTCAAAAGTAAAGATCGGACGGACCACGCGCGGGATCTTCGAGCATGTTTCGAGGTAATGCGCACCTACCGGTTGCGTCTAAACCCGGCAAAATGCACGTTTGCCGTCCAGACCGGGAAGTTTTTGGGATTCATGATGACGAAGAAGGGAATCGAACCCAACTCGGTTAAGGTAAAAGCTATATTGGATATGCAACCGCCCACCATAGTCCGGGAAGTCCAGCAACTAACCGGAAGACTGGCCGCTCTCAGTCGATTCCTATCCAAGCTGGCGGAAAAAGCTTTACCCTTCTTCAAGACACTAAGAAAAGTCAATGGATTTGTGTGGGATGAGGAGTGCCAGGCGGCATTCAAGGAATTGAAGGAATACTTAATATCTCCGATCGTCCTTTCCAAGCCCGAACCGGGCGAAGACCTTGACCTCTACCTGGCTGCCTCTGACCGAGCTGTGAGCGCTGCGCTATGCCGCACGGATTCCGACGGTGTACAACGATCGGTATATTATGTCAGCCACGCCCTCCAAGGCCCGGAACTCAGATACTCCCGCCTCGAAAAGATGGTACTCGCCCTCTACACGACTGCAAAGAAACTCACCCCCTATTTTCAGGGCAGAGTCATCCGAGTGCTAACCGACCAACCGATCGGAGCCGTCCTTCGCACGGCTTCTTCCTCCGGCCGCCTTGTAAAATGGGCCATGATGTTAACACAGTTTGCCATTGAGTACAAGCCTCGACCGGCTATCAAGGGACAAGCGCTAGCAGACTTCGTCGCCGAATGTACAGCCAGGGAAACCCCAACCGCAGATCAGCAGGTTCAAGATGTTTCATGGTGGGAAGTCGCCACCGACGGATCAAGCAGTCGGAAAGGCTCCAGAGGAGGTGTTGTCATCACGAGCCCTGAAGGATTCAAGGTCTACTACGCTCTGATCTACCAGTTCTCTCCCACAAACAACGAGGCGGAATATGAGGCCTTCGTCGCAGGATTGCAGTTTACAAGGGACCTCGGCGCAGAAAGCGTAAGGGCTCGAACAGACTCGTCACTGGTAGTCGGGAAAGTTTTGGGAGACTTTGAAGTCAATGGCGAACGACTAGGACGCTACCGAGATCTAGCGATCGAACGTCTAACCACTTTCAGGACGTATGCAGTTCAACATGTTCCCCGGATGGACAACGCTGACGCTGACATCCTCTCGAAGTTGAGCGTGGAAGCACCCGAGCATATCTCTCGAGTAGCCCGGGTCCTCGTCGTACCGTACCCCTCCATCGACCACCGACAAGTCTTGCCGATTCAACCGGTCGAAGAAAATTGGATAACTGATATAATGGGATACTTGGAAGACGGTCGACTCCCGGATGATGAGGCGAGAGCCCGAAAAGCCAAGCTCCGAGCACCAAGGTTCCAGATACAGGAAGGTCGGCTGTACAGACGGTCGTACGGGGGCCCGCTTATGAGATGTCTATCCGCCTTTGAAGCCAAACTAGTCAAGGACGAGTTACATGCAGGAATATGCTCATCCCACCAGGGCGGGCGATCATTAGCTCGGGGGATAATGTTGATTGGATACTACTGGCCGTCGATACAGCTCGACTGTGAGAAGCTCACCAAAGAGTGTGAGACCTGTCAAATATTTGCAAGGATGCCCGGACGACCGGCTACCTTCTACCACCCGGTCAGCACAGCCATCCCCTTCGCGCGGTGGGGGTAGACATTGTTGGACCGTTTCCCCAACTGTCGGGGCGACGAAAATTCATAATAGTTGCGATAGATTATTTTTCCAAGTGGGTGGAAGCGGAACCCCTCGCGACGATCACGTCACAACAGTGTGCCCGTTTCATATGGCGAAACGTGGTTTCAAGGTTCCGGGGTGCCGGTGCAGATTGTTACAGATAATGGAAGACAGTTCGAGGGCCAACACTTCAAAAACTTCCTAGCAACGATCGGCCACAAAAATCCATCCGGTCGTCCGTAGCATACCCCCAGGGGAACGACCAAGTGGAAAATGCTAATCGGACGATCTTAGAGGGTCTAAAGAAAAAACTGCACTCAGCCGGCCGGTCATGGGCGGATGAGCTCCTGTTTGTCCTGTGGACATACCGCACCACCCCGAGAGAGGCGACCGGCGAAACGCCCTTCGCTTTAGTATATGGGGCCGAAGCACGCCTACCTGTTGAAGCATGGATTGCGAGCCCGAGGGAGAGTCGATACGTCGAAGGAGAAAACGATGCAGCCCGATCCTTAGATCTAGACTGTATCGAAGAAAGAAGAGACCTAGCGGCCCAGAGAATCGCCGACTACCAAAAAAGGATCAAAGCCACTCGAGACGTCTGGGTACGTCCGCGTTACTTCCAAGTCGGGGACTACGTACTGAGAAGACGCGAAGCCAGCCAACCTCAAGAAGGAGGGAAATTGGCGCAGAACTGGGAAGGCCCGTATGTGGTGTCAGCAGTGATACGCCCGGGTACCTACAAGCTCGAAACGACAACCGGTAGACCGGTCGACCGGACGTGGAACTCAGAGAATTTGGTGATGTTCCGTCAATAGAATGTCATAGGTGGAGCTGTAATTTCCTGTTTCTTTCATTTCCCGTTTGAACCTGTTGTATTGTACTTTTCTTCCTGAGACCACATGAGTTGGCTCGAATGTTGTAACGTCATTATTTAGATGTCTGCAATGAAAATCGTCCTTCCACCAACAAACAAGAATCTCGCCAACATGCTGCAGCCGGAACCGGCTTAAACTTCCGGCCTTTGTTGCCCAAACGACCACAATGTCGCTTAAACTTCCGGCCTTTGTTGCCCAAACGATCACAATGTCGCTTAAACTTCCGGCCTTTGTTGCCAATCGACCACAATGTCGCTTAAACTTCCGGCCTTTGTTGCCCAAACGACCACAATGTCGCTTAAACTTCCGGCCTTTGTTGCCTAAACGACCATAATGTCGCTAAAACTTTGCAGTCGACCGGCAATGACGATGTCATACCGCTCGACTGCTATACACGTTTTTTTCGGTTTGCTCTTACCTTTGCAGTCCGACCGGCAATTGACCGACCGTCATAGCCGCTCGGACTCGGGGGGCTATACACGCGTTTTTTTCGCGTTTGCCTCCTTACCTTTGCAGTCCGACCGGCAATTGACCGACCGTCATAGCCGCTCGGACTCGGGGGGCTAATACAACGCGTTTTTTTCGCGTTTGCCTCCTTACCTTTGCAGTCCGACCGGCAATTGACCGACCATCATAGCCGCTCGGACTCGGGGGCTATACACGCGTTTTTTCGCGTTTGCCTCCTTACCTTTGCAGTCCGACCGGCAATTGACCGACATCATAGCCGCTCGGACTCGGGGGGC